TTTTTATTGTTAGATAGCAAGCGCTAGCAGCAATACTTGATCACTGGAGAGAACGTCCAATTATTATAATATGTATTTCTTTTTGATTTTTCAGCCAAATGAATCCATGTACGTCCAAAATAAACACGCAGTCTTCTCGTTTCACATATATTTCGTCAAATTTTCTTATCGAAAAAAACATTTTTTCGCTTTTCACACAAAATTGACTACCCATTAATGAACGGATTTAGAAGTTGTATAAAAGGTTCAAACTTGATGTGAAGAAATTACTTGTAGATTATACATACCTAAATACATTTTTTTATCTTCGACTAAATTAAAAACTCATCTCTTCATTCAATTCACCGTATTTTTCTATGTCTAACATTTTTTTTTAAAATAATTTAACAATAACAACAACAGCAATAAATTATCTATACGTATAATAAATAACCTTATTAAATGAGATAAAAAACGGTACTGTACGTCTTTCACTGAGCTTGATTATACATGAAATCAAAAATATAAAATGAACTATTTATCTGTAAAATGTTTCAATAAAATTACTAGCACCAAAAATTCGTTTAACCCGATGTTATAAAATTTTTCGCCGCTTCGAGACCAAGATTATTTTTTTGAACAAAGTTACGTATTGGAAAATGTCTACGTTGACTATCTTGTATTTTATCATGTTCAATTGGATCATTTGAAATGTATAATAAGAAAATATAACGATGTGGTCCCGTACCACTTGGAGGACTAGGACCCATGTAATTACCTATAGTAAAAAAGAGATAGATAAAACTTTCTCAGTTATAAATTTGAACTTACATATGGTTGTTCCATCACTAAGGTCCATTTTTTGTGCATTGATCACAATATAATGAAGATACGGTCCACTCGATGGATTATCTCGAGAAGGCGCATCCGGATCAATCATTACCTTTAAATAAGTAAAAAAGAGTAAATTATACATTATTTTGTGCTAATTATTATACATACCAATGTCAAATACTGATTTTTCAATTTTAATTTTGTATTATCAATTTCAAAAGTGGGCTTTGTTTTTGACTCATCTTTGGTTAATTCAGTGTTATGATCAATAGTTGTTTCACCATATGTAACATCAAACATCTCACCGTATGGTGAACCTTCTTTTAATTCTTTCAAAACATATTCAACATCTTCTCTTTGATCTCCTTTGTTTCCACTCATCGTTGAAAATACAAGTAGATAAAGAAATAAACAATGAAATCTAAATAAAAAGCAAAGCCATTCTAATTTTGAACTATACAATAGTCTAATATCGCTAAACAAAACTACATAATAATGGACAGATTTACGCCACATCACAACTAGAGATGTTAACCCTGCCGCTCTTGACGACGGAGAAAATTTTCTAGTTCGTGTACCGCCGCTAACAACTTAAGAAAAAAACAGAAGCACAAATATTTCAAGTTCATAATAATGGCAGCATGTGAATACAACTGACTATGGTACGCATCAATTCAAATTCGTTTTTCTATCAGAAATTCGCTCGATTATATGAGATTATTTGGCCGATAAGACTGGGAATATACATATCCAGAGGTGAGATCATTTTTGAAACAGATACCTTCGATCTCAGTTCATCCAGGAGACGGTCTCTTGACTGATCGACAAAGTGTGTCACGTGATCAGAACCTATAGTTTTTATGTTCTTATTAAATAAAGTGATTAACGTCACTCACAAATTCAATATTTTTAGAACTAAGAAGTGAAAAATGACGAGTTTACCAAGAGCACCCTAGCAAAAACGAACAACTTCATATTTTAGCTTTTTTCCATTCTTCTGTATAGTTAGAAATTATAAGTTAAGTACGAGGAATAAAATGTAAAAGTTGAACAAAGTATGATACTCCTCAGTTCTCCAAAATCAGGAGAAATAGAGAAAAAGTTTTAAACTCCGAAAATTTAAACTTGATTTAAAACCGTCTGACGCAAAAACGAAAGTAATACTATGTTAGGGAATTTTAACTTTTGCGCGTGATGGAATATGTTAGAAGATAATAAAAACCTCATCTTATAAGCAAATCGATTCGTATATGATGAACAAAACTACTTGTTAAGCTTAAGTGATCAGTGTGAAAAACTACATATGAAGTATAACAAGTAAACAAGTGAAAATCAGTTCGCTTGAAAAATTAGGCTTTAAAACTGATTTTTAATTATTAATGTCAATCGATCAAAAGTCAAAAACTGATTTTTCCATCATCATCAACCGCTTTGTGTTTCTCACACACCACCACCACCATCGATAATTTACCAGCTAACATCACTAATCATAGCGCACTGATTAAATACATTTTAAGTTCTTAAAGTGGTATCTGTCTCCATGTATTTGCTATTCTGAGAGTATGTGTTCTGTGCAACAGTTTATTTTTTCGCCTATAAGAACTGTTATTTAATTATACTGTCAAGTTCTAGCAATAGTTTATGGTTCCGCAATACAGTACAATGAAAATGATGAGATAAATTGTAAAGCAAGTTCTACACGTTTTCTTCCTTGCTGATAAAAAATAAAATTCATTTGTTTCACCAATGAACAAGAAAACGTTTCTTTTTTCATCTACTCATCATAGCATCCTTTTCTACCCGTTCGATATAAACCATCTTATTACTAACTCTTCTCACCTTAAAAAATGATTGAAATTATTGCATAGTATACTGTAGAGGTTAAAAAAAGCAGCAGATTACCATTCAAAAACTTGAACCTTCACCCTTTACTTACCCGTGTCTTGACATACGAATACGTTTGCGAAATATAGAGAGAAAACATCGCGAATATTCTTTTATTACCTTTATTCTATATTTTCTTTTTCTTTCGTCGTTCTTTCTCTTCCATTGGTTTTGTCAATCTGAATACCACATAGCTATTCTTTTCTTTTCAAAGGCGTTTCGGTCAGTTTTTTTAAAAGAGATGTCAGTAATAGCACGATACGACAAAATCTGTGTAAGGATTTTAATTTACGCTTAGACATATGTATAATGAAAATGTATAGAATAGGCGAATAGTTGAATTCTGTTACATTTTTTTATTCGTACTCGTACCGACTCATCCTTCACTCTGGCAATAATAGTCAGAACGTAAGAACATTATTTTGATTCATATGAAGCGTAGTCATGAAGTCACTCCTGTCAGTGTTGGTTTTAGTCAAATTTTCTGCGTACTAACTTCACAGTATGACTGAATGATTTGCAAATAGTTTCTACAAAAACTTTGACCACATGGCACATGAAAGAACTGGAGTATAATATAAAAGATACAAATAAATTTTTTTTGAAAAATATCATGGATAAACAAAACAGTGACGAATTTAGGGGGTGTGGTGGACCCGGCGTCCGCCACCTCTTTTAAAGAAAAGTGTGTGTGTTGCGTATGTTTTTAAATTTGTCAGTTCACTAGACGAATGAAAAAAACTCGAACAGACACTATCTCGGATAGCGGCGAAAAAATATGGCCATCTCCTTGAAGCAAACCTGGATCTGCCACTGAAACAAAATCTACGTACTCTTCAATCTCTCCAGATTTTGCTTTTTCACGCACATTTACAATACGAAGCGTTCTCGATCTCATTGATACTAGACTAGGAATCTGAAATATACATTGTTTTTCGGTTTTGCAACAACTCAAGACAATAAAAACGGCCGTCTTATACGTCTATTTGCGATAGGTTTGCGGTCGTCATGCTCAAGCAAAAACTGCCTATGGGAAAAATCTAATGATCTAGATGAATCGGGCGCAGAGCCCTGCAGGTTGTCACTTTTTGGCGATCTATAACCTAATCCTAGCCTAACCTACGAAGTCGGTAATCTAGTCCTAACTTAGCCTATCCTGTGAATTTTTGTTTTCAATCCACAGAACGTTACACGCATTTTTGACAAAAGTAAATACATGTTATTCGGTTTTTTGCTTTTCAAAGAATTAGAGCGTGGATGACTCAACATCATGATGCAAGATGTAGAAGAAAGAGTAGAAAGAAATCGAAAAATATTAAAATACAATCTAACCTAACCTATAACTTTGCAACCTAACCGATAGGGTATATTAGGTTAGCTTTAACCTGCTGGCGATCGAACAAAGGCGTTCAGGAATGCAGCAGAGTCATCATTTCGAATACTCTACACTCATTCTTCCTGCTGCAAGTAATATAAATAGGATTAAAATTGTCGAGTGTTTTGATCACATTTGAAAAGTTTTAATGTTTATTTTGTTATTTTGTTTTCACATCAAAATTTGAAAGTCAGTTATTTTGATTTGCAGTAAACTTTGAGAAAGATGAACTTTCTAGTTTTTGGTTCAAAAAACGTAAAAATATTCAACAATGTAATAGATGCATTTTTAAAAGATGTTCATTTTCTCACTGTATTTGTTCGTTCACGTGATCTAATAAACAAGGACTTGATTGATAATTATGGAACAAAACAATTAGTTATTATCGAAGGTGATTCAACGATTGCTGGTGATGTGTTAAAAGCGTTTGATAAAAGTAAAAACTTATATGATGCTGTTATATCGTTGATATTTAACGAAGATGAGGACGATGATATTGATGCAAAAGATAATAACTGTGTTGGAAGCATAATTGAAACAATGAAACGTGCATCATTGAACAAACGTTTATTTGTATTTAACCAAGCTAAAAATATGTATCAAGTAGAAAAAGAATCTGCACAAAGAATGAAAATAAAACATTTGACGAATTTGAAAATGGTAGATCGAAAAGAAACAGTTAATGAATGTCAAATATTATATGATAATTTGAACAGGGCAACATCTTTACAATGGACAATTGTCTGTTGTTATGGAAAAATCAATAATAAATTTAATGAGAATAAAACGTTTAGTGTTGAAAAAAGTACACCAACAATCGATAATGAAACGGCAACAACTAGTGTTTATTTTGGACGTACATGGATTCATTTGGCTGAAAAATCAAAAAGAAATACATATTATAATAATTGGACGTTCTCTCCAGTGATCAAGTATTGCTGCTAGCGCTTGCTATCTAACAATAAAAA